ACTCGGTCGACCTGGCCGAGGCCGCCGAGCCCAGACTGGCAGAAGTGATGCCGGTCGACCTGCCCGAATCCGGCGGGTCGGTTGACTTTGCGCCAGGCGGCACCAGTTCCGGGCTCGAGTCGGTCCACGGCTTGTCGGAGTATGAGATGGCCGGTGGGGTCCTGTTCGCCGGGGCAGGGCAGAAATGCCATCCCAACGAGGCGGTGGGCAAGTCGGCCGACAACGTCGAGTCCGAGGACAGTGACATCAGCCCCAGCTGTCTGCGCCTCCTCGCGTCGCCCTGTCCCGGACCCGTACTCCTCTCCTGCAACCTTCACAAGACCTTCGAATGGCTGCCTTCGCGAGGAGACCAACAAGAGGCTGTCTTGGCTACGGCCAATCTGGAACGGACTGCTTCGGCTATTGCCGCCTCAACCGACATGTCCTCTTGCGACTTTGCGCCCAATTTCTCATGTAAACTCACCTCCACTCCCTTCTCCGTCTCCTCCTCCGCTGCCTCTTCTTCCGCGCCTTCGCCTTCGCCTTCTTCTTCTTCTTCTTCTTCTTCTTCTTCTTCTTCTTCTTCTTCTTCTTCTACTTCTTCTTCTTCGTCTTTTTCCTCCATCTCCTCCGGAGCCTTGGCCACTTGGCTTCCGGCGCACTACTCGGCCTCCGGTTCGAGCCCCGACTACGCGTCTACCGGTGTCGCGCATCTCCAACCGGTTGCCATGCCGACAAGACTGTCCGTCTCCGGGTTCAAGGTGGCCGGATGGTACGAGTCCCGAGGCGACTGGCAGGTCGACAGTGACGACGCCTTTTTGGCCGCCTCCGAAGAGGCAGTCGAGCACAGACTTGGCTGCCTCGGAGGCCTGGCAACAGGCGGAGAATACAAATCCGACCAACAGAGCCTTTGGTCGCGTTGCCAGACCGACGGCAATCTTGCCGCCTCGAGACAGTCCGAAGCGGCCTACCCGCTGGAGACACTGACGTCCGGCCTGTTGACGGCAGATGGGCTCGGCATTGACGGACTCGGCCTCGACGAGTCCTTTTCGCGGGACGCGCTCGACTCGGTCGTCTTCCCGACCACCGACGACTGTCTCGAGGCGATCCGGTTACAGGCGCCCCGTCGTCTCGAGGTGGCCCGAATCGCCTGCGACCTCGCCGCCACCGCCGGTCTCTCCGACTGCCAAGCCCACCACCTCGACGCCAAAGTCGACGTCGACGTCAACGTCGACGCCAACGTCGACGACGAAGCCGACGTCAAAGTGAACGTCGACTCCGGCGCTCAAGCTCAGGTCGACATTGACGCCGAGATTGTCGAACCTCATGTCGCCTACTCTTCCTCCTCGTCAGCGTCGTCATCGTCGCTACTACCGTTGCCGTTGCCGTTGCCGTTGCCGTTGCCGTCGCCGTCGCCGTTGTCGTTGCCGGCGATTCAAACCGTCTCGCCGACCTCTTCGGCTTTGGGCTACGCGCCTGGCGGCGAGGCTGTCTGCGAGACAGCCGAGACAGTCTGTCTCCGGAGCAACGGCGGTCTGCGAAATCCCAGTCGATGGACGTCGATCCCGCGTTCTCAGGCGCCCTACCTCTCGTGGAACCTCGACTCCTACCTCACCCTCACACTGGCCCCTTCCCCGCCCCCCTCGGCTCTCGTCTATCCCGACCCCTCGCCGCCTCTGTCGGCCGCCGCTGCCTCGAGACTCGCCTGTTGCCATTGCCCACCAACAAGTCCCGATCTCGGTGCCGTCGAGGCGCCTCGACGACTGGCCGAACTGACTCCGGCGCCCCGACGACCCAATATTGCCCAACCGGCACAGCCCGTCTGCCATTGGCAGCCGATGCTGCGGCCAATGGGCGCACATTTTCAACTTCACACCCCGCCTCACACCCCCCTCAGCCACATCCGGTCGCCATTCGCCCCTTCCTCCCCTCATGCCACCGGCCACCTCCCCCCTCCTGTGCCGCCGGGCTGTTGCGATTGCCCAACACCTTCCGCTCTTTTCCCGCCTGACCGGCCCGCCCCAGCAACGGCGAGACGACGACTCCCTTCCGGACCGTTCACTCGACAACTCGACCAGCCCGGCTTCCTGCGCTCTCTTCCAACTCACTCCTCCTCCGCCTCCTCCTCCTCTCTTTCCCCTGCCCCCTCCAGCTCCTCCTCGTCTTCGTCTCCTACGCCCCCAACAGCCGCCGCCTCTTTTTCACTCCCCACCCTTTGCAGCTCACACTCGTCCTCCACCTCGTCTTCTCCTTCCTCTCCCTCCGCCTCCTCTTCCTC